GAAAAAAATGGAAACCAAAACATGGAAGTTATGTATAAATAGATGCCATAATAAGCATTGCAATGTTTATAATAATATGCATCAATGATGGCCTAACTAATTGTTTCAAAAGCTTCAGTTACAAAAACGTAGGATTCGACTAAATCATTAATTGTTTTTGCTTATAAGGGCATTGTGTCGATCATAAAATAAGATGACTTTAAACGGGACGATTATCTTTTTGTTTTTAAAGCTTGTGTAGTTTTGGAATTTATATATATATATATATATATATATATATATATATATATATATATATATATATATATATATATATATATATATATATATATATATCATCATCATCATCATCATCATCAACCATCAGTAAGTGAAAAAGTAATATTGCTCTATCTGTGAGGGAAATTAACAATAAAAACGTTCTCCACGTTAATCATAGAGTTAATTTAAGTTACCATTAAAGTTCTCTAAGATTGAAATATAAAATAAATAAACTCTTCGGAATCTGATATTTAAAGTTAATTCGTATAATCAAGACGTCAAACGAATTGAAGAGGTTATCACTTATTGATAATAAGTCGTCGTTACATCTAATTGTCGACTTTCATTAAAACTTTCGTCTAATGTATGATTACTTTAGGTTCCAAGAGTTTGCTTCACATTAGCATAAAAAAGGTAAAAATGAAGTGCAAAAAGTTTTTATTGAAATTGACAGATTTTTGGAAGCCCCTATTTCCGAAATCAACATACATAATGTACAACATAAATCAATCAATCATATTTTATATCATCCTATGGATATTTTCAGTAATCTTTTATTTCACTCATTCCATGCAGAATTATTGAAATTGCCGTTGAATACATTGATCATGAAAGGCTTAAAACTAATAATATTATCTGCAACATCGATATAAGATACTTTTGTGTTAGATATGCATGTGCTGTGATTGCATTGATTGATTTTCTTTTTGTTCATTGTAAATTGTTTAGAAATAAAAAATAACTGCATAAATCTATCATACACATGTATATAGGCACTTCTTAACCATCAGTAGATTTGGCTAAGGAATATGTATAAGCATAATCATAAGTAACAATGTTCGCTCGTGTTTTGTCCGGGTTTCCATCAATTTCAGAATAAAATGAATAATTTGTATTTGATTCAGTTCTTGTGTTTTCTTCTGTTTCATTAATTTCCTCGTCCGCAGACTGGTATAAAGGGTTTTCTCTTAGTCCATACTCAACCTCATCTGAAGGTATATCTTTCACTTGATTTTGAGTTTGCTTTCCCTTTGAAGTCACTATTTTTGAAGATTGGGACATCTCAAAGTCGTCAGCCGGTTGGTATAGGGGGTTTTCTGTTAGTTCGCGTACGTTTTTATCCCTGTCTTCTACTACTTGATTCTGTATACCTAGTGATTCTCTAATGTAAGGAATATTACTCTTGACATTTCTATATGTAAAGAAAATAGAAATGAATATTTTGATATGATGAAAATATGTTCTTTTTATGAATTTGTTTATATTTGTGAATAATGGTTGTAAATGAATATAATACTAGACCTCTAAACAAACGTATTCATAAGTAACCTTTTTTCACGCCACTGCATATGAAATCTTTTTAAAATTACGTCCATATAACACTGTCACTAAATCTTTATATTTCCCACTTGTCAAGTTGTGAAAAATTAAAATGCTAAAAATAAAATACTGTTATGTACCTTTTCCGTTTCCTTATCACCAATAATATTATTGTTAAAAATACCAGAAGGCTGATCCCAACTGCTGCGCCTAGAATCTCCCCTACATTGAAAAATAAGACAGAAAAAGGAAGGAAGTAATAATTATTTCAGGCTTAAGAGACAAAACATATTTTATTACTTCGATTGAGTTGTCATAAAAAAATGCATGCACACTTCATTAATGGAAGAAGTACATAAACGGAAAGGTTTCTTCATTTTTTCCTACTGATAACTTTATATTTAGTAAAATTCAAAAGTTTTTTTTCTTAATATTTCACTACTTTGGTAAATAATTCGATTTAAACAGAATATAAAACATGCTAAGCAAATACATTTAGAAATAATTTTGATTGTCCAAAATATCCAGATGCGGAGATACATTTATGTAATACGAACAAACAACCTTTATAAATTGTGCTAAAATTATCTTCATTTTGCTTTTTCAGATATTTAATTTTTTTTTTAATATAAAGAAAAGCTAATCAAATAATGAATGTAACCTTGAAATTCCTACGTCAAGGAAAAAAAACGTATGGTTTTAATACAGATCTTGTCCTGTGTTTTTCTTAAAAGTGAAAGTGATTTTATAAATAATATCATGCTTTCTGACAAGATGAAATTCCATGCACAAAGATCATACAGTTCAATTTTCTCTCATGACTTTCTCAATGCTAATTGTGACGTCAAAAACTTGTGCATTTTCCCATATTTTCTTAAAAAGCTGTAGAAGACACCGATTTTTCAATTTTCTCTCGGTTTCCATTGTCAACATGGGTCGCCCACATAGATTTTAAGATATGTGAATTTTCAAAGAATTTCTTACAACATGTTCAAAAATTTAAGTGGGCGACGACAAGTTTTGATTTGAAATAATGATGTTCAAATATAGGGTTTTCATACTTCATATGTGTACAATTTTTTCACACATATGAAAACAGTTAAAAAATAGATATAGAATATGTTAATTAATTATACACATATCATATATTTTGGAAAGAAACTTACATTTTGGAAAATTAAGTTTTTCGTTCTTCACCCTAATAACTACTATTGTTGTTGGAGATGTATCACTTTCTAAGCTGTCAGTGCTAATCCGGGTTTTCCCTACAATTTTTAAAATAGTTTGCATCGCATCTTCCCATTTAGATCGCGTTTTATCATCAGCCATATTGTTTGTTATATCTAAAACATGTAGTAAATAACCCGTTTTTTTTTTTTTATAAAGTAGATGTTAATTCATTTAAAACATCTTTTTTTCAAATTTTCAAAGAAAGAATTGCAATCTGAGTTCTATGTATTAAATGGATCCCTAAATAAGAACTTTTTTATCCGTATATTTATTCTTTTCACTTATGTAATAAATTGAAAAAATAAACCAAAACAGAATAATACTGAAAGAAAACTCTACAAACAATGTTATGTTTTGTTTTACGATTAACATTCAATAAAGGATTTATGCAAAATAAAAAATGCTCTAAACATAACATTGATAAACACAATAGCAGAACAAGTGCACTTGAAATATAATCCCATTAATTAAGGAATGAATTTAATAGCTACCCATTTTATACGGTATAAACTGGGTTGGGGCAGTTTACGCTTTATAAACCGCAAAGCGGTTTATAAAAAAGCGTAAACCGTTCCAACCCAGTTTATACCGTATAAAATGGGTAGCTATTAAATTGATTGCTTATAATTTAATTTTCATTCATTTTATTTAAGAAAAAAAGATGATTGTTCTAACAAAATGACTTCAATTTGTACAAAATTTGAATGTAACGTCAGGCGGATTGATAGGTTTTTAAGTAAGTCATTGTGACGTAGGCAACCCATTTTATACGATATGAAGTAAATTTCTTATCCAATCAAATACAGCGTTACAACCAGAATTAAATTATTAGTACATGAATACTAAAAACAAACCTATAGCTGTATTCTTCGGTATAACTGTTTTTGTAGACGTCGAAATTCCACAGGATGCAGAAATAATATTTGATATATCTGAAAAGTTATAAACAGAACACAATTATGGTTAAATGAAGAAAAATGCATTCTATACAATAATCTTATCTTGGGATGGACAAGGAAGGAAGATTAATCCATGCATACCATATTTTTTCTCTAGATCATAGTAAATGTACATTGAGTCATATGTAATAAGAAATATGAAATGATGCTTTTTATACATCTAGATTTAAAATGAATTCATATTTAAGGAAATCAACGGGATGAAGTGAGTAAAATAAGAAAAGATATTGAAAAGCATGAAGTATATCACAGCCTTTATTTATTACTCTAGCTTAAAAAGGAGAGACTGTGTCTGTTGAAACTTTTCTTTGAACATTTTACAGTGGTACTCTCATTTGATCAATAACCTTTACTGATAAAGTCCTGTACATTTCATATGCATATACACATGTGTAATTGTATATTACGATTTTGCTGGTTCAGTTCATGACTTAAGTTTCATTAATACTATGATATGAGGGATAATTGAATAAAATTATTGCGTGGACCATGAGGTCCACGCAGTATAGCGAAGCTAAACAGGATGCCCTGGGCATAAGCCAGCCTACGCATGCGCGAGAATTCTAAGAGAGTTTCTACCGGCAATCTTCGGCTGACTCCGCTTCACCAATCGCAACTTCTCGGGCCATTTCGACTAGCTTTCCTACATTTGACAGAAAGACCCGAGATGATGCGATTGAGAGTTCATTGGCGGATCCAAATTTTAATCTAAAGCTTGTACACATATACTTTTTAAACACGAACTAAACATTGAATCTATGGCACAAGCATTTTAAAAAGATGAAGAACTTACCTTTAGCTAGTCATTGAATCTTTTAAAAACCTAGAACTAGTCGCTGAATGAAGTTTTTAATTCAAGTTGTGAAATAGGCTGTATTTCGGTAAACTTCGGATTGATCTCGGTACTTTACGGAATAAAATGCTTTTTCAGTTCGAGTCAATATCAGAGGCCCACAATTCGAATATTTTTATTTCAGTTGATAAATAATTAAAAAAAAGCAACAATATGATAACAAATTTGTTGTTTCAACACGTTTAAATGTACATCTTTTAAAATAAATCGATGTCTCCGAGACTATAACATTCAAGATGGCGGACAGGGATTGAGGGAAGGAACGGTTCAAGAAAAAGACATAATTTGACGCCCGCCGAGGTGCTTTAGAAGATCATACTTGTAAAATATACTTATTTGTGATTCCATGCATATTTGTTAGGAATGCTGTTATGGTATAACCCTAATTTTAACCAGTAAGAGACTAAGAGCTCGTAAGATGACTCGGAGGGTCATGGAGTTTGATGTTCATTGCCTCAAATTGCGTTCAAATTGTCACTTCGGACCATTATTCTTTTGCAAGAGAGCAATTAAATGTGAGTGAAACTCTGGTTAGGTGGTTTCTGTACACACAGTGCGGAAATTGCTTGGAGTTGGCATCGGTGTTCCCAAAAGCTGAGAAAATCCAAAGGCATGCAGAACTTCAGTGTCAATAGTGTATACAGATTGTAACAGGTAAGCATTTATATTTATATATATTTTGTTTATGGAATTTATGTTATCTAATCTAGGCATTGACAACTAGTAAAAAATATAATTAAGGCATTGAAAACTAGTATAAAACATTGGAGCTAAATTCCTCATCTAAATTTTCATCTGAAACCATTTAATTTTGGATAAGGCATATAATTTATAAATAGGATTTACTAGTTCATGCATCTAAATAATTACATGTAATATAATTGTATCTATCCTTTTTGTAGCTATAATCTACAGTTCACTGTGGGAGACCCTCAATGTGTCATCAACATTAAATCTACAATTAATACATGAAAGGATTTTGAAGGTATGAACAGTTTTATTATATCATTTAGTAGATACATATATTTTAAATTTGGTGGCTCTAAATTCAAATGTTTATTTGTCAATTTGCTCGAGAATCAGTGTAAGAAAAATATTTGACTACATGCAATAGACTACCCCGTCATTTTTGACGGAATAATCTCTGCTGCAAACTTTAATGAATCACATGTACATTATTAATCTGTATGAAACAATCATTTGTAGTACAAAAATATTTTTTCATTTTCAACAGGTGTTCAATGCTGAAAAATCAAAGAACTACGGGTATTTGTGTGTGCTGATTGGTAAAGTTTCATGAAGAGGAGTCTGGCAGAGACGATGGCACTTTCTCATCTAAGCTGATCTATGGCTATGTCAGAAATGGTGAAAATAGATTAATTTATGTTTTCTCCCAAAACCAGTGATGGCAAACCTAGAGTGACTGGAACATCTAAAGTTCTACAAAATATTGTCCCAAAGTTGTGTGAATTTTTTCCTGCCACATAAATTTATCAATTGTATCTAAACAAGTTGGTCTGTATTATGGATCCTCTACTAAGTGTAAGTAACACATACCTTATGAGATTACTGTCGGAGTCCTTATAGTATCTACATTTATATCACAAGTACTATTTATTGTGTCATTAAAATTTTGAAATTTATTTTCTAAGTCATTCTGTATCAAATATTTATCACTCTGCTTTGATACAATTTACTGTGACTGTCGCTATCAATTTTTAACTTCAGTATTTCTGTTTAAAATTTTTTTTTATTTTTTAGTGTACATTTTTAAATTCTAGACATTATAAATTCACATTTGCAGAACTTCAAACCATTTTCATTTATGTAAATCAATTTTGTACATTGAGTTATGAGATTCATTCATAATTTTTGACTTGCAAAAAAGTAAAAAAAAAGTTCAAATAAGGCAAAAAATAATTAATTTCTTGGTTCTTGGGCCCTCCCTCATCTCTTCCAAGGGTTCCTCATTGACCCTTTTTAATGCTAAATCACATTCCTCATCATTTTTTGAGGTTTTGTAAATTTTAAACAGCTTCCTCATCATGATTTGGGGGCAATAAAAAAGTAAACAAAAAATGCCTCCTTCCTCATCATATTTCTTGAAAAAAGGCCTGAGAACCAAGTAATTAACTTTGCATGGCCCAATTGAAGGTAAAAGTGTTTTGACTTTTCTAATGTACATTGTGTAATGTGTAATCATGTGTAATTATAAATATTTCTCTTTCAAATTGTTAATGTTTCATGGTAAAAGCATGTTGCAATTGACATTATGAACTTGAACGTTTATTTTTACAAAAAGACCATTTTGTAATTTTTTTTAATAACACTCTTACCAATATGTTTTGTTATTTGATATTCTTTAATTTTAATTAAAGATAACAATATAAAAGTAATTTTTTGTCATTATTATGGAATAAACTTCTTAGATACCAATTTATGTGCTTTTTCCTTAGATTTTAGTTTTCATCAAGAGTTATGTTCCTGAAATGAGTTGTTACCTGTGAAGACCCAATTTTTTAATTTGTCATGACCCATACTTTGATTTTAGAACATTAAATTATAGGGTTTCCAGGCATAAATTTTTACCCGTTTGTACAACGGATACCTTAAGTTTTTAATTCAAGTTGTTAAGTTATCTATAGATAACTTTACAACTTGAATTGAAAACTTCATACATACTAGTTGTAGGTTTTTAAAAGATAAAACAAGTCTTCACCGGCATTATTAAGGCTCGCAAAAAAAAATTGATATACATGTATATGGATTCAAATACACCTTGACACAAGCCTTTAGCAACGGTATTCCATGTGGGGGAGAGGGTGGGGGGGGGGGGCTCCAGAAAAAAAATCTGTGTACTACAGATCTGAACTGAATTTTGAAACTGAAAAAAAATAGATAATAGATTGTACAAGTTGTAATAGATAACTTTACAACTTGAATTAAAAACTTCATACATACTAGTTGTAGGTTTTTAAAAGATAAAACAAGTCTTCACCGGCATTATTAAGGCTCGCAAAAAAAATTTGATATACATGTATATGGATTCAAATACACCTTGACACAAGCCTTTAGCAACGGTATTCCATGTGGAGAGAGGGGGGGGGGGGCTCCAGAAAAAAAAAATCTGTGTACTACATAACTGAACTGAATTTTGAAACTGAAAAAAAAAAATCAGTTCAGTTTAATTCAGTTCAGGTACTGTGTATATGTTAATGTTCGGTGGCGTCGGTAGCCTAGTGGTTAGGGTGCCGGACTCCAAATCGAAAGGTTGTGAGTTCGAATCCTGGCCGCGGCAAGTCGACGTTGTGTCCTTGGCAAAGGCACTTTACACGAATTTCCTCACTCCACCTAAATGTAAAAGGGGTACCTGGCTATAGACAGCGAAAGATATTGTCAGAATGTTAGTGTTCTAGCGCTGATTACGGCAGCTTGCACTGAGAAAGATTCTGGATTGTTAAGGTCTGCTAGGGTAATAATGATTGTAAAGCGCTTTGAGTAGCATTTATGCTAGAAAAGCGCTATATAAATCCAATCATTATTATTATTATTATTAATTACCAGCCAGTATGGGTTATTATATATATGTATCAAAATAGCCTGGATTTGAAAATAACAAAACTATATGCCAATCGGAGATTAAATTTAACAATTTTGCTTTGAAAGTACTATCGGTCAAAGTAGAGAGATCACTGTAGAAAATGCGCACGAACCTACATAAATATCCAAAAACTTAACAAATTTTCTTTGATTGAATTTCGGTTAAAAGAAAACATGCATTTGGTCCACGTATTGTCCTTTTTTTAAAGGACAGCAACTTGTTTTACTTCTTTTTGTTGGAATGCCTTTTAGGGCAGTTTGCTACTATAAGTTTTTTTTTTATCAAAGCTGCTTATAAATGACTTTTCTTATTAGAAAACATAAGCATAAGAGCAACATTTCAAATGAGTTAACAATCGCATCATCTCGGGTCTTTCCGTAAGAGGTCGGAAAAACAACCTCGAATGTATTGCAGAAGGATAAAACGTACGCTGAAATAGGCCCTGAGGTCCCCCTGCTCAGTTCACGACTATCGGGCCTGTTTACTCCGCTACAAAATGTAGTGCGTTGCATACGTAAAGTGAAAGTAGAATAAATCGTAATACTGTGAAGCCTTTAAAGTGTAAAACAAACAATTTTTAAAAGGAATAACCATCTGAAGGGTTTTATAAAAGATAGAGGGG